GAAAGAATAAAGAATGGACAGATAGGTAGAAAGGAATTTTAGGCATTTTTGACAGAGTCTCACCACGCCACGATCCTCCCACCCCAGTCTCTCAGGTAGATAAGATGACAGGCTTGCACTGCTGTGCCTAATTGTCCAGCAGGTCCAGGATTTGAACCTGGGCCTTCCATGTGACTCCAGCATTGTTCAACAGTGTCTTACTGACTGTACCGCTGAGGCTGGGTCATATTTTTTGTCTTAAAGGAGCCTTACTGTATATTAAGGATAAACACACTCAGTAAAACTCATCTCTGAATTGTCAATGAACAATCCCATTTCCAGCCTGAAATAGAAAACAGAAAAAATAGTAAAGAAAATCTCAATCCTGAGAGTTTAAGAACTTGGCTCTGTTAGTTAATTAGAACTGGCTGTTTTGTTCACCATCCGTGTGAATTTCAGCAACTTAATCTCAGAGTCTGTTTCTGCTTGGATTTTTTTTTTAAATAATTATTTTAACTTTATTTATTTATTTATTTAATTTTAATTTGACCACAGAGGGACAGAGTGGATATTGAGAGAGAAAGAGAGAGAAAGGGAAAATGAGAAAACAAACTGCCAGGTCTGGGACTCGAACCACAGTTGTTGGCCATATGAAGTCCAGTGCCCTTAATTACCATGCTACCTGCTGGCTCCTCTGCTTGGATATAAAAATTAAAAAAGGAACTAAAACAGCTACTAAAGTGGAAGCTTGGAAGGCTACTCTAAGAATTAAGCAGGAAGGGGCCAGCGGGTGGCATGGTGGTTGGGGCACTGGACACTCCCACATGGCTGACCATGGTGGACCTGGTGGCTTGCTTTCTTACTTTTCCTCTCTGTCTCTAGTCAAATTTAAAAAATAAAAACAAAATTAAAAAAAAAAAAAAGAATAAGTAAAATTAAATAATTCTTAAAAAAAAAAAAGAAAAGAAAAGAAAAGAAAAGAAAAGAAAAGAAAAGAATTAAGCGGGAGCCAACAGGTGGCGGGTGGTTAAAGTGCTAGACTTCTACATGGTCGACCACGGGTCACGTATTGGAACTGGCACATATGCATGCGTGCTCAAAACCCCAGAAGAATGGATTTTGGTGTGGCCACCCCCCCTTAGGAGGTATTTCTCACTTTCTCTCTGCCTCTCTCCAGTAAGTACAGGTGCCCTATAAGAAAACTCTAAAAAAAGAAAAAAATTAAGTGAGATGGGTTGGGTCCGTGTTCTGGTGGTTTAGAGAACCAGATAGCAACATGGCTGACTCGGGGTTTGAATCCAGCCTTAGCAGCTTGAAAGACATACTGGGAAGATGTGTGTGTGTGTATAAGCCCCAAATCCTAAAAGGACATTTAAATGGAGAAGGGACTACAGAGTGACCACACTCCACTGGAGAGTGCTTTCTCCCCATCCTGCAGGTGAGCATACATGTCCTCTGGCAAATTAAAAACAAACAGGATTAAGTGAGAAAATGCTTGTAGAGGCAGTACAACCCCTGTACATACGAAATATCATTTTGTTTTTATTTACCTGTCTCTATCAAATACTAACTAAAGCCACAATCTTTTTGTTGTTTAAAGTAAGAGAGAGAGAGGGGTACTTTTTATTTTTAAATTAAAAAAAAAAATATTCCAAGGGACATGCATACTTGTCAGAAAGAGAAAGGGCACCCTCCCATGGAAAATGGTCACACCATACTCCCTTCTTCATTTCTCCATCCTGGTAGGATTTGGGGCACACACATATATGTACCTGGCATGTTTTTCGAACTGTGGAGTCTTGAACCACATAATAAGTTATGTGGGATCCAGTGCCCTTAACTAACAGGCTACTGGCTCTCCCAAGAGAGGTATTTGTGACAGTCTTGCCATGCCAAAATTCTCCTGCCCCAGACTGCCAATCAGTGAGGACCTCAGTGAGGGTCACTGTGCCCAAATCCGGGCTTCCCACGCAGCCTCAGATACCACACAGCAGTGCCCTCCTGTCTGTGCCACTGCAGCTGGGCTGTATGGCCACATTCTTTTGTTGGAGAAAAATGAAATGTATTCCTATTTGATGAACAGGGGACTAGACCCTAGAGTGCCAATGCTAGCTGTATAACTACAAATAGTAAATGTTAAACACATTAACATACAGTACAGTTTACTTTTAGATCTTCACGTTAGTGTGCCAATACCCAGTGAAAACAGAAATGCCTATATATGCTTACCTCAATTCCGAAGTACTGATGTCCTTTTCCCAATACGGCATCCACATATTCTGAGACCAAATCCACAGCTTCTTCTAAAAGGTCATAGTTTAAATATAGACGAAGCAATTCAGCAGCATCGACCTTCTGCAAAAAGTTAGTAATTAAGAATATTATACGGGGGGGCCAGGAGGTGGCATGACCTTTAAGGGTGCTGGACTCCCACATGGCCAATGGCGGTTTGAGTCCCGGACCTGGTGGCTTGCTTTCTCACTTTCCTCTTCTCTCTTTCTATCTCTTTCTGGTCAAATTAAAATAAATAAATAAAGAAAAATAGATTAATTCTTAAAAAAAAAATTATACTGGGCCAGCAGGTGGTATGGAGGTCAAGGTGCTGGATTCCTACATGGCCAACCATAGTACAAATCCTGAACCCAGTGGCTTGAAGATCATAATCAATTGATAAATGTTTATTTTAAAAAAAAAGATATATTATGTCCTCCTATCTTTCTTAGGCAATGACCAAAGGATGCTGGATGTCTGGTCCCCTAGCATTTACATTTCTCAATATAATAAACGAGTGTCTTGGTTTCCTCATCTGTATTTTAGGGTAAAAGTGGGATTCTCTAGAGGCCAGTTATCGCTAGGTATCTGGGAGGCTCTTATCTGTTAAAAGGCATTCCTCACTGTTCTGTGATCTAAGACATATTTTAACTTCTCCCTATTTCAGTTTTCGAATTAGTAAAGTCAACAAACCTCTCCAAGGATGCTGGGTACTAAAGTGACAATACGTTCACATTAATTCGCAGAAATATATGAATAACAAATATAAAAGGAGTTCAAAGAGTCACCAATTTTATTGCATTCATATATATATATATTTTTTTTTTGGAGAGATTTTTGCCATAGGGCATGTGCACTTGCCAGAGAGATGGAGAAAGACAGAGAGATAGAAAGTAAGAAATCATCCCCCGGGGTGAAGGCCATGCTGCAATCTCTTCTTTTCCATTCTCCTCTCAGGATACTGGGCACACATGCACATGTGCTTGGCGCTTTTTTTTTTTCTTTTTAAGAATTATTTATTTTAATTTTATTTATTCTTTTTGTAGAATTTATTGTATTTATTTTATGTTTTTCAAGTTGACCAGAGAGAGAGAAAGAAGAAAAGTGAGAAAGCAAGACACCAGGTCTGAGACCTGAACCCCATGTGGGAGTCTAGCTGTCTTAACTACCATGCCACCTGTCAGCCCTTTAATTGTTTTTTTCCAAGACAGTTTTTTTTTCTTTCTTTTTTTTTTTTTTTTTTTTTTTTTTTTTTTTTTTTTTAAAACAACTTCTCCACCAGAAAGACAGACATAAAATGAGAACACACACCCTCACCCCCATCTCCAGGGATGGCCACACCACAATCTCTTCTCCAGTCTCCTCACACACGCCAGCTTTTTTTTTTCTTTAATAATTATTTTATTTCACTATAGTTACATATTTATTTTAATTTGCCCAGAGAGGGACAGAGAGAAAGTGGGGGAAAGAAAGCAATCTGCCAGGTCCAGGACATGAACCATAGTCGGCCATGTGGAAATCTAGCACTCTTAACTACCACGCCACCTGTCCCGCACCCCCCATGAGTTTTAAGTTGCCAGGTCTGGGACTCAAATCAGTCGACTGAGTGGGAGTCCAGTGACATAACCATTATGCCATCTGCTGGTCCCTCATTCATTCATTTCTTTAATTTGACCAGAGAGAGGCACAGAGAGGAAGAGGGAAAGTGAGAAAGCAAACCACCAGGTCCAGGACTCAAACTGTGCTCAACCATGTGGGAGTGTCCAGCACCTTAACTACTACGCCACCTAGGGCCCACCCTTCCCATCCCCTGGTGTTAATTTTTTAATTTTATTCAACTTCCTTCCTTTCTTTTAATTTGACCAGGGAAGGAAAGAGGGAGAGAGTGAGAAAGAGAGAGAGAGAGAGAGAGAGAGAAAGAGAGAGAAAGAGAAAGTGAGAAAGCAAGTCGCTAGGTCTGGGACTCGAACTATGATCAGCCAAGTGGGAGGCACCCTTAACCACCACACCACCAGCTATCCCCCACAACCCTGAGTCAGTTTTTTTTTTTTTTTTGGAGAGGTTTTCACTGTAGGGCGCGTGCGCTCACCAGACAGACAGAGAGAGACATGAAGACAGAAAGCGAGAAATCACCCCCCAGGGGGGATGGTCACGCCGCAATCCCTTCTCCTCCATTCTCCTCTCGGGGTCTTGGGCATGCACGCACACGCGCCCGGCGCGAGTTTTAAGCCACCGGGTCCGGGACGCGAACTGCGGTTGACTACGTGGGAGTCCAGCGACATAGCCATTACGCTAACTGCTGGTTCCCAACCCTGAGTCAGTTTTAAGCCTCTGGGTCTGGGGCTCAAACCGTGGTCAACTATGTGGGAGTCTAGCAATATACCATTACGCTGCAATCTGCTGATTCCAGAGTTATTGATTTTAAATCTGTATCTTATTTGTATTTAATTTAGGGTGAAAGAAAAGTGATGCACTTTTGATTTGGAAGCACTGTATTATTTATGTTAGGTACACTTGCTATAGCCTCATGATTTACTTATTTATTTTAGAGACAAGGTCTCACTATGCTATCCAGGCTAGCCTCAAACTCATGATCTTCTTGCCCCAATTTCCTGAGTAGCTGGCATTAGAAACATGCACCCTGACACCTGGCTCCTATATTCTGATTTGATCACATCTGATTACCTTTACTACCTTTTTAAGTTTCGCCACGAAAGCACAAATGGGGGAGGGAGTGGAAAAGCAGGCCCCCTGGGGTATGGTCTCGCTGCAATCACTTCTCTTCCAATTCTCCCTCCTTTCAGGGTTTTTTCAATGTGCCCAGTATTTTTCAAGCCACTCAGTCCAGGATTCAAATTGTGCAGCTGGTCATGTGGGATCTGAATACCTTAACCACCAGGTCATGGGATGGTCTGCTTTCTCTACTTTGTAACTTAAAAGAACAGACGAACGTTCCTAATTTTAACCTTAAGATTCTCTTTCCTCAGTCTGCCCAAAGTGGATCAGATATAATACGTCTCAAACTAAGACATGCACAAAATTAAATTAGGAGCATGTTACGATGTAGATTTGGCTCCCAACCCCAGATAATTTGACTCTGTAAGTCTGGGATGGAGTCCAAGAATCTTAATTTTGAACTAGCCCATCAATTAAATAATCCTGATGCAGATGGTCCAAGAACCTAATTTTGACAATCAACTTTAAAGAACTCTGTTGTAGCTGAAAACTAGTCTGCCCACTGCTGTGAAATTTTTGTGCAACCAATAGTAATTACTGTGTTATGCTAGCCTCATAGTTCTAAATATAAATTCATTGTTTAGTGTGCACATAAGCAGGCTTTAGCCTCATTACTATGCTGTGGAATCGGAAATGTACTATGTGTAGAACTGAAGTTGAATTCTTAGTATTTTTGTCTACGATTGAGAAGTTGCCCAAAGTATATAAGGCAGTGTGTTCTCATAAATTATCACTCTGGTTTTCTTTTTAATCATCTCATGAAGCTATTCAGCATGATAATGAGTTGGTTCCCACTCTCTACAAGTTCATGTATATATGTATGTCTTTTATCACAAAGAGCATGTGCACATACTCAAGAGAGAGCAAGAAAGAAACAGGGAAGGAGGGAGGGAAAGTGAGAGTGGAGAGAGGCAGAGAGAGGAGAGAGAAAGCAAGCATCTCCAAATGGGCTCTGCCATGCTGCAATCTTCTCTCCAATTCTCTATCCTATCAGGATCCTGGACATGCATACACACGCCCAACGTACAGCTGAGGAGGCTGGGATTCAAACCCGTTGTTCATGTGAGATCTGGCTCCTTCTGCCTAACGCTAACCCCTGTGCCATGGGTCCTGTCCTCTAAAGTTAAGACACCACTTACCTTGTAACTGTTTATAAGCCAATTAGGCAGAGGCACTCCATGAGATAAGAGCTTGTTTATTACACAGTGATGATACAAGTTATTCTGGACTTTGTACCTTTCCAGGAAAGTTGATAATAGTCGCCATGCTTCATCTGTAGCACTTAAAAAAAAGCAAAAAGGGTAATTTCAGATTCTTTATCGATATTTTTAGCACCAAAGTATGTATTTATAAAGAAAAATCTTTAGACTCTCACAGTGAATCAATAATAATTAATAATGTAGTAATCAATATGACTAACGGCAATATGACTTAGGAAGAGAGTACTATATACTGGATGACTTGGTTTATTTATTTTTTTAAGAGAGATTTTTGTTATAGGCTATATATGCTTGCCAGAGAGACAGAGAGAGAGATACAAAGTGAGAAATCACGCCCCCACAGGGGGGATGGCTACATTGCAATCCCTTCTCCTTTGTTCTCTCAGCATTTTGGGCACGCATGTACACGTGCCCAGAGTGAGTTTAAGCTGCCAGGTCTGAGTCGAACCACGGTTGACTAAGTGGGAGTTCAGCAATGTAACCATTATGCCATCTTCTGGTCCCTGTTTTCTTCCTTTATTTTTTTTTTAAAGAGAGATTTTTGCTATGGGGCGCATGTGTTTGCCAGAGACAGAGAGAGACAGAGAGAGAAAGTGAGGTCATCCCTTAGGGAGATGGTCACACTGTTATCCTTTCTTCTCCATTCTCCTCTTGGGATTTTGGGCACACACATACATATGTCTAGATGAGTTTCAAGATTCCAGGTCCGAGACGTGAACCACTGGTTTACCCATGTGGGTGTCTAGCACCTAAACCAATACGGCACTTGTTTGCCCCAATTTGTTTTATTTTTCTCCCACTAATTACATGATTGACTATATAATTTATTTAAGTCTTTATTTCAGGATTTCTAAAACAAGAAAACTGGCTCAGGTCACTGGATCCTAAACTTCATCAAGCATTAGAATCATGTAGAAGTTCTGGCTAAAGACTAGGGTGCATTATTTTTCAAATAATGGTTTAATATTAAACTATTTATTTAACTCCATTTGTTATTATTGTTTTTAATTTGACCAGAGAGAGACAGAGAGAAAGGGAAAGCAAGAAAGCAAGCTGTCAGGTCTAAGACTTGCACCACGGTCAGCCAAGTGGAAATCCAGCACCTTAACCAGCAAACCACCTGCTGGCCCCTCTCTCTATATTTTACGTTTTTATTATTTCCTCCATGAGAGAGACAGAGAGACCGGCATCCTCAACAGGGTCTTCATGCCATGATCTGCCCCCGCCGTGCCTCAGGCAGCCAGGATCAAGCTTGGTATGTCATGTTACTTCAGCGTGGCCATCATAGCTGGCTTCATGATCTGCATTTTAGTCAGTGATTCTGAAGTACTAACTTAGAAGTTGAAAACTAATGTGGGAGACCTTCCAAATTCTCAAATGTTATTACTATCCTAAACTGCGAACCTGCATGACACAAATTGTAAATGTAGTTTAGGAAGGGAAATTTGCTGAGGATTAGGATTGTTAAGAAAGATTCCGAAGCAGGGACCAGCAGTTAGCGTAATGGCTGTGTCGCTGGACTCCCATGTAGTCGACCACAGTTTGCGTCCTGGACCCGGTGGCTTAAAACTCACGCCAGGTGCGTGTGCATGTGTGCCCAAGATCCCGAGAGGAAAATGGAGGAGAAGGGATTGTAGCGTGGCCATCCCACCTGGGGGGTGATTTCTCGCTTTCTATCTCTCTGTCTCTCTGGCGAGCGCAAGCACCCTATAGCAAAAACCTCTCCAAAAAAAAAGAAAAAAAGAAAGATTCCGAAGCAGAAACTCAAGGAAATTCAGGTAGACACCAATTGGGTGCGCTTGCAAAGTAAATGGAGAGAGATCTGGAGAAGCTGTGGCAAACACTGGAGGTTGGTGAGTGGCTCAACAGTAGGCAGATACAACTGTATGAGGACACTATAAGCTAGGGATGGTGGTACACACCAGGAGCCCAAGCTACTAGGGAGGCTGAGGTGGGAGGACTGTAATACAGTAAAACCGTGTCTAACTGCCCAACACAGAGAGAAAATAAAAAGGACAGTGTAATGACAATCATATAGTCATTAGATGCAGTGGGGAAAAGAAACATTGGACTCTGAGACCAAGAGAATGGAGACTTCCACTTGTAAGAGCACCTCTCCTTGATAAGCCTCTAAGGAGGGAGTTACAAAGAACGAGGCAATTCATGGACAATGACATCTTGGACAATAAATGATATGACGTCATAAATCACAATCTTTTAGATTCTACAAAACCTTGGCCAAAAAAATTAAGGAAAAAGGAAAAAGTCTGCATAGGACAATTTAATCAAAGAGAGGTACAGTATAGAGACAGGCAGACCCACCCAGGGCCAGGTGAGCACCAGTGCTATACCTGGACTCCTTGGTAGTGATGACAGATGAAAGCTGATTGGCTGCTAGCCAGGCCCAGGCTTCTGCTTGCGCTGCTTCACCTCCAAACTGCAATTTGATGCATCTGCAATGAAGATGGGTCCACAACAGTAAACTAATTGCTGAAACGTACTGCTATTTTGCTACTAAAATTAGAGAGAAACGAGAACAACTTAAGTTTAGCTCTTGTCTACTGTTCAGTACTCAAAAAAAAAAAAAAAATATTTTTAATTTGGGGGCCAGCAGATGGTGGTTAAGGTGATTAAGGCAGCTGAACTCCCACATGGCTAACTGTGGTTCAAGTCCCAGACATGGCAGCTTGCTTTCTCACTTTCCTTCTGTCTATCTATCTCTGGTTAACTTCAAAAAATAAAATAAAATAATGACAATGAATAAAATAAAAATAATTCCAAAAAAAAATTTAAAAAGCTTTTTCAGTTCATAAACCACTTGACTAATAGGTATAAGGTAACTTTTTTTTTTTTTTTGAGAGGTTTTTGCTATAGGGCGCGTGCGCTCGCCAGATAGACAGAGAGACAGAGAGACAGAAAGCGAGAAATCAACCCCCAGAGGGGATGGTCACGCCGCAATCCCTTCTCCTCCATTCTCCTCTCGGGATCTTGGGCATGCACGCACACGCGCCCGGTGTGAGTTTTAAGCCACTGGGTCCGCGACGCGAACTGCGGTCAACTACGTGGGAGTCCAGCAACACAGTCATTACGCTAACTGCTGGTTCCCAGGTATAAGGTAACTTTAATAAGAAATACTTTTCAATAATGTCCTAAAAGACCAAAGAGACTGTATTATATGCCTTATCTAAAATAAACACAATTGTTCAACTCAGGTTATTTGCTCTTCTGATTCCTTAATGGAAGCTATGAATCAAGATTAAATTTGCTCTCAGGTGTGAATGCTTGCTGGACAGAGACAGAAAAAGTGAGATAACATTCCTGGGAGGATGGCAATGCCACAATCCCTTCTCTCCATTCTCTTCTTGGGATTTTGGCTAGGCATACTCATGTACCTGGTGTGTTTTTCAAGGCACTAGATCCAGGATTTGACGTGCACAGTTGGCTCTGTGGGATCAAGCCACCTTAACCACCATGCCACTGGCTGGCTACTCAAGAATTTTTGTTTAATGCAAAATCACAAGCCACTTAAAAACAACAGAAACAAACAAAATCACTGCATGTATTAAACAAAACACCTTGTTACAACTACAAATGACCTACTAGCTTGTGATTGCTGCTTTACGCTGAACAGTAAGATGATACTTTACATTAGACAATTAAGAGACTACAGGGGCTGGCAGGTGGCGTGGTGGTTAAAGACACTGGATTCCCACATGGCTGACTGAGGTTTGAGTCCTGGACCTGCAGGCTTGCTTTCTCACATTCCCTCTCTCTGTTTTTCTCTCTCTCACTCTGCTCAAATTAAAATAAGTAAGGTAAAATAAAGTTAAATAAAATAATTATTAAAAAAAAAAAAGAAAATTAGAGACTATGAAAAGAAAATGTTATACGTACTTGAAAGCAAGTCCCTCAAAGACAGGTGTTAAGGGAAGCTTGAAGGTCTGACACAGTGATATGGCAGTGTCAAAAAGGCCAGCCTGGACCAAGAGAGTGACCATCTCCTCTGCTGATGAACTTCCTGTGGAAATGGAGAAAGGCTATTTAGTATCCACAGGCACATGCAAATGAGAACAAAGACTTTAGCTTTGTTGATGAACGAATAGCTGAGTAGTAATCCCAGACACTGGATCCATCTAGCATATTAAGTCCACTGTTAGGCCCTAACTTCTGTTTCTGGTACTGACAGGTTGGATGGTTTAACTGCTGAGTTCCCACCTGCAATTGCAACTGCTGAAGGATCATGCTGAGCCAAAGTGAGGCGAATGCGAGCCAAGGAACACTCTTT